CCCCCCCCCCCCCGGGGCAGGCATGCTCGATGCCGGGCGCGGCTACTGCCAAGCCACCAACCTCATCCGGTGCCTGGCCAACACCGGCGTGCTGGATGCCATCGCCGGCAGCCGCGAGGCCAGCCTGCATGGGGATCTGCCGGAGCCGACTGGCGTCCGGCTGCCTGGCGATTGGTGGCGGTCGCCGCGCGGGCCGTCCACCCATGCCCGGGCCCAGCGCCTTGTGTCGGCCCTGCTGGATCGCATTGTCCGCGAGACGGATGCCCAGCCGGCCAGCCTGCTGGCCGGGCTTGATGCGGCGGATCTCCCGGCCCCCGGCGGCCTCTCTCCGGAGGCTGGTGCCGGTGCCGATCGCGATTGCTCCGGGGATCTGGTGCGCACCTCGACCACTGGCAGCCTGCCGGCCGCGCTGCTGACGCGGGTGGATCCGGCCTCCGGGCGCCGGGTGCTCGGGCTGCCAGTCCGGACATGGGCCAGCTGCTCGACATGCCGGTTCGCCGGGCCCGAGCCCGCGGCCGAGGCCGAGCCCGAGCCCGAGGCCCCGGGCGTGCGGCTGTCTCTGGCGGTAGATGTGCCCCTGGACCGGCCGGCCGGGCCGGAGGGTGCCGGCTTCGCGGCCCGGCTGCAGGCGGCCCTGAATGCCGACCTGGCCGGGGCCGGGGCCGGGCCGCGGCGCGCCTGCCCCCGGTGCGGCTGCCTGACCTTCCGGCGGAAGCTGACCTTCCTGGCGGGGCCCGACGAGGGGCCGGCCACCGGTGCCGGCCCCTCGCCCGGCCCCTCGCCGGTGCTGCCCTCGGTGCTCATGGTCCGGTGTGTGTCCTCCAGCGTGGCCGTGACCAAGCCCCCGGCCAGCATCTCCGGCGGGGTGTTCCCCTATGACCGGCACCGGTGCGGGGTCCACGGGGCCGACAGCTCCACCGATCGCATGGTGACCATGCTCCAGTGCCGGAACCCGGGGGTGGCGCTTCCGCGTGCGGTGGCCGTGTCCACGGATCCGGCCACCGGGCGCATGGTGGTCACCCCGTGCGCCGTGCCGGCCGTCCTCGGGGCCCAGGGCCCGGCGGCCGACCCCGGGCCCGGGGACCTGGCCGTGGATGTCGACCGGGGGGGCCGGCTGGCGGCCGGCCCCGCGGCGGGCTCCAGCTGCTATGTCCTGGTGAGTGCCCTGCACTCGGTTCCCTTTGCCCCGGTGACCAATCGCTTTTCGCTGCTGGCGAATGCCGAGGCGTCGGCCGCGGCGGCGGCCGCCGCCGCCGAGGAGTTCTTCGCCCCCGGCTCGACCGCCGGCCCGGGGCCCGGCCCCCTGGGGGACCTGATCGCCGGGGACTTGACGCACTTTGCCCCGGCGCCCCTGTCGGGGGCCTTCCTGCAGGAGGTGTCGCGCATTTGCCCGGAGTCCGAGGCGCTGACCGTCCGGCCGCCGGCCCCTGTCCCGACATCCGGCGGCGGGGGCACTGGCGGCGGCGGTGGCGGTGCCGGGGGCACTGGCGGCGGCGGGGGCACCAGCGCCGGCGGCGCCGGCCCCGGCCCCGGCAGCGCTGTCGGCCGCAAGGCCGCCCGAAGCCGGTCCTCCTCCCAGACCGCTGGCAAGGCCGCCGGCAAGGCTGCCAGCCCGGTGGCCCCCAAGGCCGGCCTGGCCAAGGGCCACGCATCATCGGGCCTGGCTGGTGCCCTGGCGCCCGGGCCCGGGGCTGCCCCTACCGGGGCCGGCGATGCCCCGGTGGTGGTGCTGGCCGCCCCGGCCACGCCGACCCCCCAGCCACAGCATCCCCCCCCGCCGGACATGGAAGACCGGGTGACCGACCACATTGTGGCGCATGTCCGCGTGCCGCGGTCATACCGCCTGCGGGGCACCCTGGCGCCGTATGTGCCGCGCCTCGACCCGACCGAGCGCCAGCTGGGCCTGTCGGCCGACGGGGCCTTCTTCCGGGACCCGGGCCTCCGGGACCCGGCTCCCTGGTGCGTGCTCAATGACTTCAGCGCCGGGGTCATGGCCGAGGAGGGCCTGCTGGATGAGTGCCACGAGGGGGCCTCCTTCGAGCCGGCCCTCCCCTGGCGCCGGCCCGGGGTCCTGTTCTACGTGCGTGCGGAGGACCTGGTGTTCGACGCGCAGCCGGGCCTGCTGGCCGCCGGCCCCCGGGCTCCGGTCCCCTGGTGGCGGGAGCTCCCGCTCCGGGTGAACCCGGCCATCCTGGCCATGGGCCTGGACTCGGAGGGGGTCATGAGCCGCGGCGATGCCGGGCCCCTGGCCCGGCCGGTGGCCCTCCCGCCGCCCATCCAATTGCCCACCTACGACGAGGTGTGTCGCCGGGCCCGGCCGCCGCTCGAGTGTGTTCCCTTCTCCACGGTCCCGCCCACCGGGGGGCCCGCCCCGTGGACCGTCGCCCTGGACTCGGAGTTTGTCATCCTCCAGCCGGACGACGGCACGGACAAGGGCGATGGCGATGGCTGCCACCATGTACGTTCGGGCTGCTGCGACCGCTGCCCATGCCAGCGCGCGCTCCCTCCTCCGCTTCCGGTACTGACATGCTCCACGGCTGTGCCTTGCTTCCCCCTCTCCCCGCCTCCTGTGCCTTGCTGCCAAGCAGGACCCCTGCTGGCCATCGCATGCGCGCAGCTGCCTCCTGTCGATTCCGAAGTTCTTCGCCGCACGTGTGTCCATCCTCAGCACGCAGGCCGGCGTCGGGGCCGGGGAGTCGGGCAACCCGCTGGCCGGCATCGCCGGCCTGGCTCGGGTCCTCAACCCGGCCAGTGTCCAGTCTCTGCCGGTCATCCTGGACGACTACATCGTGCCCCAGGCGCGTGTCATCGACCATGCCACGCGCTTTTCCGGCATCCAGCCCGGCGATCTGTGCCCTCGGCGGTCGCGCTTCCCGTTGCTCTTCTCGCGTGTACGTACTGCTCCGCGCTGGCTCTTGGCCTGGTCGGTCCCTGTCGGGCCTTGCTCCTGGCCGGCCATTCGGCGGCCTGCCGGGAGGCGGCCCCCTCCGGCCCTGCGCCCTTGCTCCCTTTGCTTGCGCCCGGAAAAACCCGCCCGCTGACAGCATCCACCCCCCGACCGGCATGGCCGGGCACGCAACCATCATGCCCCCCCCCCGGCCACAGGCCGTCTACCTGAAGCTCCGGGCGCTGATCGACCACAACACCCTCTTCATTGGCCACGGCCTGCAGATGGACTTCCGCATCCTGAACATCCGGGCCCCGCGCGTGGTGGACATGGTCAACATCTTCCGGCAGCCGGGCCAGCGCATGGTCGGCCTGCGCTTCCTGACGCACTACTTCTTCCGCTCGGTCATCCAGTCGGAAACGCACGACAGCATCATCGACGCCCAGTCGGCCCTGCGCCTGTTTGCCATCTACCAGAACGTCATCTCCGGCGAGAAGGATGTCCAGTCGTGGCTGCTGGCCCTGGACCCGTACAGTGTGGACCGGCAGTTGGATGCGGCCGCGGCCGCGGCCGCCGCCGCCACTGAGGGCGGGTCCTCGCCCAGCCTGGCGACGCCTCCTTCGGCACACACCGAGGAGCTGGGCCGCCTGCTGCTGGAGGACGCCGTGGCCAGGATGTACCGGTATGGCTGGTCCAGTGGCTGGCATGTTCAGGAGTGAGGCTTTCCCCTGGCTGGGCCTGTGACTCCCCCTGCCCGCTGGCCGCGGGGATCCCCTGTCGAGCCCCTACACGCCGGTGGCCCCTGCCGCAGGCACATCTTTTTCCCCCAGGCAAGCGGGCTGCTCCTGCTGTCCCAACCCCCTGGAAATGTTCCCCCTCCCTCTCCCCCTCCCTCTCCCCCTCCCTTCGACACGGGGCGTATGCATGTGTCCCCGGTGGCACCACTCTCCGAACTGGCAGGGATACTTCGGGGGTGGGGAGGAGCCAAACGGGCCCCTGCTGGCTGTCTCTCTGCCCCCGCCTCCTGCCGGTGTCCGGGGTGTGGCTTGTGACATTTGTCGTGGTGACCTTGCGCCTTTGTGGGAGTGCCTGTCTGCTCGGCTCCCGCCG